TCTCCCCCTCCTTCCGCGATGCATACGGAAGGTTTTGCTCTATTCTCTATTCTTAGGATAGCAGGGCATGTCGCGCCGTTAAAGAAATTTTTACCGAAGTACAACCTCCCCTCCCAAAATTTTCTCCTCCTTCCTCTCCCTCATCCTACCTACAGGCTTTTGAAGTGTCACAATTGCCCACAACCAATTTTCAAGTTTTTTTTTGCGAAAATTCTCCTTCAGACAGGGCATGCTATCTCCTTGACGAGGAGGGGCGTCGTGTTGTTCCGTTGGATTGTGTTACTAATAATAAGCGGCGAGTCTTCAGCAGCAAGCAGCGCAAAGATGTCAGTATCAGTATAGTTAAGAGTATCAAATATGCCCTGTAGGGAGCCCGAATGTGTGATAAAACACACCAAGCAGGAAAACCTTAACAGGTGCGCAGGTAAGTCACTTTTCGCAAGTAGCTGTATTCATAACTTGCGGCTTTGCCAAACCTTATGAAGCTGCTTGCGTGGACAAACATTATAGAAGTTGTGCCATGCCATCGCCTCTCCATGGGAGGCTAGCGCATGGCGCATCCAGGAAGGACTAATGGGCGCTAAACCAACCACTGCCCTCTTCTGTCCCACGAAAGGATTAATTTTAGATGAACACGCCTACTTGAAATGAAATGAAATGGTTTACTGGGAGCGAGTTTTCCTCAATGCTCGAAGTTTCCCCCGAAAAAACCCGGAACGCATTGATCTCATGTACCCTTTAAACTTTGAATAAAAGTTAAGTGGGCCTTGAAAATAAGAAATCCTTCTGAGAACTGCTCTCATGTTGCAAACAGTCTCAGTGGAAGGAAAATACTGTCGTCCAAAGCAGAAAACTCGCGTTTGACCTCGAAAATCCTCATCGAATCCCCAACGCTGCATGTTTTTTGAAATCAGACAACATTAAAGCACATTTTTGCACTTCTCAACAAGCTCAAAACCGCGCTTTTCTTCCTCCTCCCCCCCCACCCCCAAAAGAGCCTCACTCATGGGCATTTTGGCAAGTGCGCTCCAGCGCGATTGGAAGGACGCATGCCCGCGTTTTAGACGCGGGAAAATAGTTTGAGCTCGTAGCAACTGACAGGTTCTAAGCGCCTCCTGTTC